TTGTGGTAACACATAGCTAGTGTATACATAGAGTTGCTTTATGAGGAAAATCTGCAGTTTCTAAAATATGATAAGTAAATTACAGTAAGTAATGTAGAAATGATATATGCTTATAGATTGAGATATGGACACTTTCTTTAGTTTTACAACTTGCTATTTGGTGTTACCAATGTGAGAACATCATGATTTGAATCAAGGCAGCCTACTGCATTTTCACTTCCAACTTATGCTTTTCCTAGTTTTAAACAGTATATTAATTCATAGACTGGCTGTTAAAATTGTTGCAATATGAATCTTAGCTGCAAAATGTTGGAACCCTTTAACCTGGGTTCTTTCAGCACTTTTGATTGTTGGCAAGAGGGAACCAAAACTTGAAGCAGCTGTAAAAACAAAAAGAAAGCCTTTGGCCTCAGCAATTCTACTGGTGCTGGCAGGTTTCATATATAAATTTTATTCTGCTGCCCCTAAAACCCGAAGTTAATTTTGTTGATTATGTACCAGGTGTGTCCATGTGGCTAACCAGTATTCTTTATCTAATTTTTCCACTTCTGATTTTTCTACCAAACTTTTAAAAAAGCATAAAAATTTGATACTGTGATTTAAAGTGTTAATTGTAATATTAGGCATCATTAAAAATAACTTAATTTCACTCTGGTTGTGCAATTTACACACATAGTTGCCTAAACTGCCAGCTATTCAGTGTTGTGAGTTTGAGCCAAAACATGGGCTTTATTTTTATAAAATGTAAATATGTAAATTGCTGCATGAAAAACAACACTCATCTCAATCACCACCATCATCATATTAATAAATGTGACTCAATAAGGTGGGCATATGGGTAATCATATCATATTTTATTATCTGAATGTACATGAATATTTTGCTTATGCATTGAGCTTCTATGTTTCTCTTTTGAGTTGCATTATAGTTTTAAAATGATTTTTATATTCCATCCAAATAGAGATATATAGTGGATATCAGCTTGAGAACAAGAATATTAAATCATACTTCGAAGTTAGCTTCTTATCATCCCATCTTGTTCCAAGCTGGTGGTCATAATGTTCCATTTCAATTTAAACAGAAGGTTATGTTTAATTAAAGGTTTTGCCGCTTAATCGGTTTGCTGCAGGTGGAATTTTACAAACAGCTTATGCCTAACTTCCATTAAGTAAGGTATAATTGTCTATATATAATTATGAAACAGAACTACATAGTAATCTGTAAATTTGCACATATTGGTTCTGAGAAAATGAAAGTTAGAAATCTTTTAGAGTAATGATGTACAATAGTGGAGTGGGTTTTTTTCTGAAACAAGGGCCACATTTGGCCTTTAAATGATGAGTTGAAAGCTCTACTCAAAAAGCTAGGGAATCAGCCTGAACAAAAAATTAGTTTCATTTAATTTACCTTTACATTTGATTTAATTTACCAAATTATAATTTGTTACAAAAGAAAACTCTTTTGAAGGCCACATCTAAGGTTTCAGGAGTCATTGACCCTGAAATCACAGTCTACATTTACTGTTGTAAAGCAAAGTAGTCAAACAATTATCAGAAATATACCTGGCCCTGTACTTGTGTTCTGCAGTCCCCAAAATTGACAGCATGTTTTGCTGCCATGTTGAAGCAGGGAGAAAAATGACACTATAAGCTCTAATGCCTGCTTCATATAATTAAAAAAAAAAAGGACAAAAACCAGCATACCTTTAAATGGCCTTATTCAAGTAAGTTAGGGTGTCAAACTGCCAGCCCACGGGCCGGTTGAATCATGCGGAGGCCGCACTCACCTCAGCTCCGGAAGTGCGAAAAAGTCGCGATATGTCATGTGACGTGGTGAGTTTGACACCCGTGAAGTAAATGATGCAGTTCTGCCTATCTTGAATCATTGTGAATCCATAGCAACTCTTCCCTCTGCTATTATGAAGTGCCAGTTTCAAAAAGTTGCTCATTTCCTGATCTAGAACTAAGTATTTTGGTAAATTCTCTTAAGTAGAGCATAACCCCTGATTTTCCCTCAATTATTTTTCAGTCATTTCAATAAAAGATGATGCAGAACTCTTTTTTGGGTACCAAATGGGAGCATTTTCCAGACTATTTTTTTTCATTGTATTCCAGTTTTTCTTTTATTGCCTTTATGTTATAACTTGTGGCATGGACTCTCAACATTTTAGTGATTTATGATTCTGAAAGCTGTTTAGATATCTTTAGAAATATCTTATGCAAGAATATGTAATTCCTACCAGATGTTCAGCTGATTTCCCTTGGAGTAAATGGTACTGTAGTTACTTGCTTGGGTTCTCAGGTTTATACAAAACAGGCATGGCATGCCCCTTTTTAATGTATTTATTTCAGAAGCAGGTTCTTTTAGCAAGATTCTGTACTATTGTGGTCTCTTCTTTTGAGTCCATACCATTGTCCATTTTTACTATCATATAAGGAGTTATTCTTACAATTCGCGAAATTATTTTTTTCTGATTTTGTTGTTTGGAAGCCTATGTTGTCAATGCTGTAACTGGAAACCAAGAAACCAGTAGGAGAAATTACATTTGATATCATTGCTCCTTCTCCTGATCTTGGGATACATTCTCTCCATGATGTTTATTTTTACTACGTATGTAGATGACTTATCTTTTCTGAAAAGCACCTGAACTTGCAAAGTATGTTTTTTAGAGTCGATAATTAATTACATAACATACTCTCTCTTTTCACAGTAAGTAATAATACTGTAGCATTATCTTGTGGTCTCCCACCATTCCTGGAAACCTTGACTTCATACTTTCTACACACAATAAAAAATAGGAAAGCCTTTATTCTTAGCATTCTCATATGTTAATTCATTTTCTTACTGTCTCAGCAACAAATGAAAACTTGGATTTAAAGAATGGATCTTTTTTCTCTACTTTTGTCCCTTTTTCTTGTTTTTCCAGGGGTTAACGTGCAATTCACCAACTTTCAATAAAATTACTCTCCTAAATGCTTCTAAACTCACACGAAGAGTCATTAAAATTGTAGAGTCATTAAAATTGTACAATCAAAACAAATTTTGAATAATATCTACATATAAATTGATTTGTGCAATATCAAACAGAAAGAAGCAAAAGTACAAGTTGCTGAGATATCTAAACCATTTTTAGTTTACTTATTCCTGACCTTCGTTTCTTTAAAAAATTTAAGGAGTGTTTAAATCTTGTGGAAAATGTGAACGAAGATCAGATTTTGAAATGAATATTCCTTGTGGCAAATAAACATTTTTTTAAACAAAATGTTGCTCTCAAGTTGAAGGGACACTGTAATCCCACTACATCTAAGACTTGTTTGTTCAGTATAAAATCCTGATTTGTAGCTGAGCCTGCTTTAAAAATTGTACAAGATGATAGGAGCAGAAAGGGGCCATCCAGCCCAATATGCCAACCACATTTTAATTTATCTTAATCCTACCTTCCTGCTTTTCCTCCAGACCACTCAGGCCCCTCCTTTTCCAGAAACACATTGAAGTGTTTCTTGAATTCATGTATTGATTCTGCGCACGGAGTACAATGAAGTCTTTGTTTTATGTTAGGTAGAGCTATTTATACTTAGTAGCCCCTCTTACCTTCCCTCATTATAACTTGATTTGACTTGAAGTTTACTAAAGTTACTTCATACTGCACTAGTAAAGCTGAAAGAATCTGGCTGTAAGTAACTAAAACAAAACTTCCACCCCTTTCTTTTCTTTTCCTGTTTGGCCAGAAGATGTCCATTCCAGCTGTAGTAGTTACAATTAATATATTCTGAATTTCATGGATGCCCAAAATAACAAAAGTCTAAAGTAACAAATTGTATAATGAAAATGAACCTGTAAATTTAATTAGAATTACTAATTGCATTGAAATCCAAGTATAGAGTTCAAGGTAATCCATATCATCCAAGATTGTCTATGAGCTAACTTCCACAAGAACTTCCCTAAAAATGAAGGTTGGAGACTAGTACTCTCTAGTGAGATGTTTTTTAGGATAAGGTATCTAATGCCTCTTTCTCCCTGTGAAACATTGAATGTTATCTCCAGGACTGCCTATTTCAGTTAGAATTTGCCCACTCAGTGTATTCTAACATAGAATAGTTTCTGATGGTCTGCATTTGATGGGAGGGAACACAGAGGCAAGCATTTTCTGTAAGTGCTCTCCTCCTCAGAGGCAAGAGTGACCTTGTTGCTCATAGTCTTTTGAAAATGTGTTTAATTATAGATACCCGTACCTCATGACTTTGGGGAACAGATTGTCATTCTGAAAGGGATGTGACACTTTGAATGTTGTATCAAGATACATTGTTGTTGTTTTTTATTTTAAAATTTTATTTTGTATGTTGTTTGAATAGTGAAACATTAATTGAAGTCTAAAAGTCCCATAAATCAAATATTCACTCCTCATCTTATTGGCACTGGCACTATAGGTTTTGTTTCTGCTAGTTTACCTTCTGGAACTTCTCAGTGAATCAAGGGTGTCCCTGGCTGAAGATGTGGAAAGAGACTTTTTCAGGGCAATCACATTAAATACCCTTTTCTCTGAATTCCAGAGACTGACCAGTTGCTGAGACTATAAAATTGCTTGAGAAAATTCCTTAGAGCAACAGATTTGGTGTGGATCAATTGCAGTGGTACGGTGCCAATGAACTATAAACTCACTAGAGTGTGGTCTGGCTATGACCAAGGAGTAATCATGATGTCCACTTTCAAATTACAAACCATCTATTCCAAAGTAAAGACTGGACATTTAAGACAGACCCATGGATGTTGCGAATTCCTAAATCATTCCTAACTCCACTCTAAGGACATGGGAACTGAAAGCTCCTAGCACTAACAGCAGAAGAATCTAAAAGTATTCCCATGATAAGAGAGGTGTTCAGGTAGAGGTTTCGGTAGACATGCTAATAAGCAGAAAGGTAAGCAGTACAGAAAAACAGTATTAACCCTAACTTTTTCCTACAGTCCAGTTTCAAATATTGATATTCTCATCTGTTCACCAAGATATAAAGAGGACTAAAGTCTATTGAAAGACCACCCTGGTACCCATCTCTGACTAGGTTTTATTCAGATATATGCCATATCCAAAAGAGTAATATTCACCACTTGATTTTGAGGTTTTGTGAAATTAATGCTTCTTTGTTTCTAAATTCTAAATGGTCTTCCCATCTCGGTTGTTAAAATAATATTGCCTTATAGTCCTTTCTTTAACTGATGTCTACTTCCATATTTTGTTTATCTTAGGATAATGTCAATTCCCAACTGAGGTCAAAGTGATCCATACCAGTTTTATGTCCTTCTCTTCAGCATTACTCTGGTGCCTATTTTGAGATGCATATAATTCACTTCAGCATACATTATAATGATACAATTCATTCAGCTTTATGCAAGACCTCACATCTTATCAAAACTTTCCCTCAGGAAAAAAAGTAAAGTTTTCAGTTTGTCTCATTTAGAATCTTGCTAATCCATTGATTTATAGAAACAGGCTCTTTTCAATCTGTCCTTCTTTGAAATCAAAAGTACTGGATTGTGTTCTAAATGTGCAAGGTTAGAAAATGCATAAAAACCTTTAAGACTGGCTATCTCCCAATAGTATTTCAGGTTGTGTCAATTAATAAGTGACCCCCTCTCCCTAATATTAGAAAGAAAAATATTTGCCTGCTTCCATGAGACATTGGATGAAAACTTTGGCATAAAGTATCCTTTGTATATGTATCTATCAATAGAAATGCGCAAACTTCTTAGAATTCGCAAAGACAGTACTGGTGGTATTGATGAACAATTTGGCTGTTACAACTGAGGAGCAATCTATTTATATAATAATATATAAATAAATGTTTAAGACTGGAATTCTCCAGAATTCTGGTCAACTTACTCTGTAACATTTTGTGGTTCACTTTTTTCCTTTTACTGGAGGGCAGAACTAGGGCAGAGAAATAATTTTTATTCACTTCAGAAAGGTTACAGCAATAAAGAAACTCTTGTTAATATCAAGGAGCATGGCAGCCAGGAGTTTTCACAGTCTGGCATTGTTTGTTTTACCAGCAATTTGGAACCTTCTGCACTCTTAAAATATTGGCAAGAAAATATTTTACTGTTAACTGTTTTATGGCAGGCATGCCTTGTGCAAAAGAAGCCCTTGAAGAAGCAGAATTTTCTTCCTTTACTTTTGAAAGATGTGGGAAAAGTTAAAAATCCTGTTAACATATATGCCATCTTTTATGGATAATTAAAATGTCCATTTAAAAAAAAACTCAGTCTAGAAATCCATTTATATAAAAATAGCAACAAGTGTGCCAGAAATTAGTAATAGATGGATTGGGGGGAAAAGAAGGATAATTAACAATCAAGTGTATTTATATCTTTATATGTTGGATGAAAATGTTGAAATGTTCAAATTAGTCGTTGCTGTATAATCAATTGCTGATTGTAACAAGAGAAATGAAGTGGGCCTTAGCTGTACGTGCTTTCCCTTCCTTTCTTTTCTTCTACAAGAAGACATTTTGCTTTTGTTTTTGATTAACTATAGTTAAGCATAACATCCAAATGACTGTGCACTGTGATTAGTTGCAATTATGATTTCCTTGAAATAAACAATTTTTGTATATGGATTTGAACCTTGCTTGTTTTAAACATAATTGAGCTAATCATGATTTGCATCAGAATATTACTCTGAAATAAAGTCCTCTTGGGACTGTGCTGTATGAAAAAGCAGAAAGCATGTACATCCAGTGTTCGTTCCTGTATTAATTAATCATAGTTTAAATGTTATCTCTTGAGTACTGTGAAGGAATCTTTTCAAAGATAGCTTTCCTATATTATATATAAAACTAAGAATCTTAGCACATTTGAAATGAGTATCTTTTAACTCCTTAGTTCTGACAATCTGGGAACAATTTTTAAGCTCTAAGCTATGCATATTTATCTGGAAGTTAAACATTGTTGGACTCACTTGGGCGTAGTTGTATCTAAAATTGCACTGTATACCTTCTGAAAATAATCTTGAGCCATAGATTTCAGTGGCTTTAATGCATCTGTGCTTAATTTATATTTTTGTGGGATTTGGGGCACAGCCCTTAATCTGAAGCCTTCAGAAAACTTCTGGGCTTCTAGAATGATTGCCTGTTTCTGCTAAGATTCCTCAGTTACTCTGATCAAAAGCCAATATGGAAGTAATTCCAGTCCACGTTTTGGTCTTCACAGATCTGTGCAGGGCTTATTTTGCAGGAGAATAAGATGTGGCTATTAGCAATTATAAGTCTTCCACTATTCATAACATTTGAGACAGGATTGTAATTTAAGATATAATTATTGTTGAAAGCTTGATGTTGAGATTTCTGCATTTCTGGGAAGATAGGATTGAGACAGATTGTTCTAAAGAGTCCTCTCTAAGTTTATTTTCTTTAATGGAGTACTGTATCTCTAGAGTTAACCATAGAGTTTCTCCATACGAGGAAGCCCTTTTAAAATTGTGCTGTTATCCAGGGTACACTCCCCCTTCTCAGTGTAAGACTCATCCTTTTATTTATTGACATGCTTGCTTAGCTTTGTTATCTCAATAATTCTTTTTAAAGGTGCCCCCTTTTTTGCTTTAAAGCTATGCAAGGGATACGGCATAAAGTGCAATTATTTTCTTTGCCTCTTCTAATATTTGTACTATGTGTTAAATAATCCTTTTGGTAACCTTTTTATTTCACAAAAAAGCATGGTAAATATATTATAATTCATAGAATTTGTTTTAAAAATAAAAGGTTAGTTTATTGTGGGTATGTTACAAGAGAGCTGCTCCCCCGACAGAAATACAGTTTATTCAGAAGCATATTCTGTTGACCAAAACCTTTGTCTTGAACATGCATTCAAAGAACAACTGTGGTTGGGTGAAAATGACATAATTTATATAGTTGGTAAAAATGTAAGTAATTATTGAGGTTGCAGTCATCATCTAACCTTATGATTTTTAGCACTTTTTCATTAGATATTTAGTAGTAGCCCCACAATCAGTTTATGATGGCTGGTAAAGTGTATGAATTTTAATAATTTGTATAAGTGGAAATATAAATCACTTGCATAAAATAATTTTTATGATTCTGCTGTAAGTATGAACTATTTTTTAAAAAAGTTATGAAAGAGTAGTTTAATGGAAGACTATATAAAGTGTAGTTTTAATAGACTGACCTGAATTAATTAGCTCTTTGAAGGCAAAGTGATTACAAGTCTGTTCCTGAAAAACTATGTGCAAATGATCTCACTAAAGAGCCGTGGTGGTGCAGTGGTTAGAATGTAGTATTGTAAGCTAATTCTACAGACTGTCAGGAGTTCGATTCTGAGCAGCTCAAGGTTGACTCAGCTTTCCATCCTTCCGAGGTCGATAAAATGAGGACCCAGATTGTTGGGGGCAATAGGCTGACTTTGTAAACTGTAAATCACTGTAAAGTGATATATAAGTCTATTGCTATTGCTAGTGAAACTACAATGCCTTGCTTTTATCCAAGGGATCAGATTGTTGGTGTTGTTCATGGCTTTTCTTCGTGTTTAGCAATAGCAGCTGATGGGCTATGCAGTTTTTATGGGTTAAACATTCAAATCCTGCTTTGCATCTCTTACAGCATTTTATTTAGTGTGATTTGTTTAGCACTGTGTTGAGATCAGCTAATTATGATTTTTATTTGCTTGTGTCTTTTTTTCTTCTTCTCTTGTAGAACTGATAATCACAATAGAAAGTTAGGATAGTTCCCTGCAATCAGTTGTAGGAGCTTCGTCCTCGATAAACTGCTGCTACATTGTTTTTTGTTTAATAATATGGTGTACTGTCCATACATATAATAAACTCAATGTCTATACAGGCATCTTCCATTTCTATACATCACAAATCTTTCATTTATATAATGTTATGTTCTGTGCTATCTAAAGTAAGCAAGTAAGCAGGCAAGAGACTTTAGCTTTCTTGTGCTGTTTTTGCATCTAGTACCAGTCCTACTTCTAAGTCAGCATTGTTTTTATTTTTCAGGTTAATGCTCTTATCCTAAGAAGAAGTCTGAGAACCTTGACAGAAGTTTTCTATGCGTCTATTTTTGGATATGATGAGGTAATGTAACAGTTAAATTAAAGTTAAATATGCAGAGAACAGAAACAAAAAATCTATCTGTGTTAACATGAGTTAGTCTCGTTGTGTGGTCAAATGCCCTGAATGTTTGTTAATGTTTCCTAATATTCTATATCTGCTATTGGTGAGAGGTGAATGAAGCTAGGAGAATGTGCTGTGGCCACTGGAAAACCATCATAGATTACCAAATTGGAAAAGCCTTTTAGGTCATAAAACTCAATCCCTTGTATTAGAGCAGGGGTGTCAAACTGCCGGCCCAAAGCTGCGCTCACCCCATTGTTGGCAATGCAAAAAGAGTCACAATATGTCACGTCATGTGACATGGCAAGTTTGACACCCATGTATTAGAGAAATCAAAAATAAAATATCCTTTATGGACGCCTGTCTAGTCTCTATTTGAACATTAAGTGAAGAGGAATCCACTCTGTCTCTCATCTGTAACATCTGTTTGGGAACCTGATACCAAACTGTTCATATTTCGCTTGAGATTTAACTTTTTTGCTGTTAAATAGTATTTGTTTTAATACATGCTCCTGAATAAACCCATCATAATGCTGAATCTGCTGCCTGGATCTCCTTGTGTCTTACTTGTTTCTAACCACAGATTGATTACACATTCTGCAGTCCTGTCTATAGCTTGTTATTTTATGTAAAGTAGTCAAGATCTAATATTGTATTTAAAAACTACATTGTTATCTATAGGTACTATAATCTCCTGCTGTCCCTTTTATTTTATTTTCCTTTTAAATATTTTTAAAATAATCTTTATTCTGTTTAGTAAAGCAAATAAGGGCTTCTGTTGAAGTGCTTAGAGCAGTGGTTCTCAACCTTCCTAATGACGCGACCCTTTAATACAGTTCCTCATGTTGTGGTGACCCCCAACCCCCCATCCAGCTGGCCAGGGAGGGGGGGAAGACCATTCCGCCAGCTCCGCCCAGCCTGGTTGGAGAAGCGCCCAGGCGGGGAGAGGGAGAGAGAAAGAGAGAGAGAGAGAGAGAGAGAGAGAGAGAGAGAGAGAGAGAGAGAGAGAGAGAGAGAGAGAGAGAGAGAGAGAGAGAGAGAGAGAGAGAGAACGCCAAGAGGAGGGCAAGGAGATAGAGGAGCGGTGTCTCGATTCCTAAGACCATCGGAAATATGTGTTTTCCGATGGTCTTAGGCAACCCCTGTGAAAGGATTGTTCGACCCCCAAAGGGGTCCCGACCCACAGGTTGAGAACCACTGGCTTAGAGATTGTTAGGGAGGGTCTAGAGATGTAGACTTGACCAGACCAAGATAAATTAGCTATGGGTTCAGGATCTACCCACTCTTGGGGATTGTCCAGCTTTATTGAATGGATTTTAAGACTGTTCTTATGGTTATCCACATCTTAGTTTCCTCTTCTTTGGACTACTGCAATGCATTTTATATGGGGCTACCCTTGAAGACTGTTCAAAAGCTACAAGTAGTCCTGAATCTGCAAATAATTAAGTGATTGTGGCACCTTCTTGTCATATTTCTACTGGGCAAGCTGTTGTTTGGCTTCCCAGTGCATTTTAAGATGTTGATAGTTATTCATAAAACCCCTCTTGGACATGGTCAGCATGTTCCAGGTCCCCTCATTGAAGACCTGCAAATTTGTGAGACCTGGTGTGTTCTCTGGTTATGCAACTCTACTATACTTCTTTGAGTCATGTGACATGTATCTTAGGAATCTAATAAATAAAAATGTAAGGAACAATATTTTGACTAGGAAATATCTTATTCAAATGGGCTGATTTGGTAACTTCTTCTGGGATGTAGTGCACACTGTATGTGACAGAAGAAGACCCATTGCTGGTCTTTCCTACAGAGGTGAAAATGAACAAGGTAGTAATAACCTTTCTATTTAGCAGTCCATGTGTATTTACAAATAGCTAGGAGAAGATAGGGAGTAAAGCATGATCAGAGATTTCAAGTATGGCAAGTCTGCAACAAATCCTTCATCCTCTATAACAGACATGTCAAACTCGCAACGTCACGTAACATATCGGGACGGTTTTGCCATTGCCGGCAATAGGGTGGGTGCGGCTTCCGGATGACGCGTCTGTCCCGCGGGCCGGCAGTTTGACACCCCTGCTCTATAACTTTAAGGCACCAGACTAACATTAAGGCACCAGGAGACCTAGTCCTGCCTTAGGCATGAAAACAAGCTGGGTGACTTTGGGCCAGTCACTCTTTGTCAGCCCAACTCATCTCACAGGGTTGCTGGTTAGGTCTGTTCACTGCCTTGAGTTATTTATTTAAAAAATTATATATATATATATATATATGGGATAAAAAAAATCTTAAAAAAGCAAGAGGAAAATAATGAGATCTCAATGACTCCATTTGAAAAATGTTTATTTTCTGCTGTAAGAAACCAAAGATTTTTAATACAGTTGTTGGGGTTTTTTATGAAAGCCTTGTCCAATTTCCTCCTAGCCAATCTATTTGAGATAGCATATTTCCCACTGTCACTAGCAGCAGCACACCAACAAACCATTTCATGAGTTAGCTACAAAAAAGATTGGAATGGTCTAAATCAGGGGTGTCAAACTGCCGGCCTGTGGGCCGGTTGCATCATACGGAGGCTGTGCCCACCCCAGCTCCGGCGATGCAAAAAAATCACGATATGTTGCGACATGTCATGTGACGTGGCGAGTTTGACACCCGTGTTCTAAATGATGCTATGCTGCTTGCTTGTTCTTTCTGTCTGTCATTTCTTCTTTACAACAAGCCTCTGGTAAATCATAAGTTGCCCCTTTTCTGTAAAGGATTGTCCTATACGAATAACAGCTTTTTAAAGTAAATCTGAGCATCTTCTTTAAAAATTTATTTTAGGGAATACTCTCAGATGATCATGTACTTGCAGCAGCTATCTGGAGAAATCTGTTTGAAACAAATTGCAGTGATCCTAGGCAGCTGGCAATGATGGTAGAATATGTGCGCAAGCAGGTAAGCAGCATAGAATATATGTAGGTTCCTTTACTATTTCATGAAAAAAGATCATGTTTGGTAAGAAGCTAAACTTTCTTGATTTTCCTTTTTGATAACTAAACTTAAGGGGTTTTCCATAATATTGTCTCTAAAATACATGCCTTGATCCTGCTTCTTACAGCAATTTTCAGAAATCAGTTTTTTTTCTTTTATCTGTAAAGTTCTTGACTTCTCACACCCAAGGGAAATCATGTTAGCTGCCTTTCTGCTATATTCTGGCAGGCTGAAAAGTTTTTATTTTAGCACACATTTAATGTGTAAATTAATGGAATTCTGTTAATTGGGAATTGTTATTGGGAAGAGCTATTTAGGAACTTGGTGTTTCTCAGCAATCCCTGTCTGCAGCTTATCAAGACATTTACATCTGTTTCCAGTATTGCACAGCTGTTCTGAGGAGCTTTCTTCTACTGCAATTGCAGTCTTTGAAACAGATGCAGCTGCTTTAATGAAACTTATGTGTTCATATATGTTATGAAGCACCTCTGAAGCTGAATTGGTGCTATTTTAATAACACACTTCTAATTGTGTTTTAATTATTGTTAATGGTACATAGTTGGTTTTTTTTAATATATTATTAACCATTTAGTATTTATTTAGCACATGGCAAGCCATTTGTATGCTATTTGTTGATGGAAAGGCTGGATGTACATTAAACCAGTAAATAAACAACTGGAGACTGGAATCCCTGTATGTTGGGGAACAATTCAAAAAGTGTAAAGAAGAACACTTTTAGTGGGGTGTTCAGAGCTCTACCTTAGACAAGCTGCTGATAATCAAGAAACCTTCTGGAATTGTACTATAACAAAACTAGAGTATTTCAGTAGAGCAACCAGTTGAAGCCATGTTGAGATAAATTGCATTTGAATATTCTCAATAACAAAGACAACCTATTCTTTCTTTCTGGAGCACTCATTAAACAAATATTGTATTTCAGGAAATAATAAGATATGGGCCCATTTGCTGACTGTGTTACAATTGCTGTGTAGAAAACAGCTGCTCTTGGATAAACATTGTACATTATCCTTTGGTGGTGAGGTGGGCACTTTATCTTTTAAATGTCTGGTTTTACCATTAATGTCTAACTTTGGCCCCATCTTCCATCAGTAACCTGACAGAAGAATTACCCTTCCAACATATCTGTAAGTGACTTGCACTATTTTGCTGTGATTATCAGGTGCAGCATCTGGATGCTATGTCAGGAGAAGACCTGCTGCTGTCTGGGGAAGTGACTTGGCGCCCCCTTATGGAACCTAATCCACAAAGCATTGTAAAGCCCGTTTCTCCAGTATATAATGATGAAGGACTTTGAATCCTTGTCAACCAACCAGAAAATGTTTGCTATTGTGTATATTATCTTTATACACGGAATAATTCCTGGAAGAAGTAACTGGGAATTCTTAGAAAAAAGCATAATAAATGCTGTACTGCTATGTTAAAAAGTGAATAAGAGTTTGTTCTTTTGTAATTATACATTCTAATAAATTTAAATACCATGGTGTTTTAGTAGTATATATATATAAATAGTTGCTACTATTTATTTATGGAGTCTTTTACAATTATATTATCCCCAGGTCCTGTCAGCTCAGATATCTTTTGCAAAGCCTGAAAAAAATGCAAAATTCCTACTATGTTTTTGAACAAATATTGTCTGTCTCTAGGCAAATGTTATCTTGGGAATTGCAAGGATTAAAATAAAGTTTCTTAAAGTATTGCTTGCTATTTCCCATCTCGGATCATATTCAAGATAATATATATAATGGGGAACACTTTCTTACTTTGATTTTGCAGTTCAAGAATAGAACATTTTAATGATCTTGTAGGAGTCATAGCTTTCACAACCAGCCCAGAGGTAACTATTAAATGAGTATTTATAAATGATTTGCATGTTGTTTTAGAAATGCAGATAAAATCAGCTTGGTTTAATCTGATGTCTGGGAAATGGAATCTATATCTTCCCTCCCTAATTGTGGAGAAAACTTATTTGTTGAAGCTAGTATTTGCTTTGAAAGAGTAATCCCTATTGAAGTTTCACCTAGTGTTATTTTAAAAGGGTGATTGTACTAGGGCTTGTAGGAGGAAGAAAAAAGGTCAAATTACTTCAGCCCCGGTAATGATCAGATTTTCTCCTAGTGAATGTGATTTGCATTTTTAAAAACCTGTATGTTCAATCCAACTCTAATGTCATCTAGTTTGGTCCTATTACTATGGTTAGACGTTCTAGTATCAAGGTCCATCGTTTTGTATAATTAAAGCAACTCAAAGGCTTTTTCTGTGCTGCTTATCAAATGGTATCTTCATTTAGAAATTATCCTGAGTTGCTCATATAAAGCAAGTTGACACATTATTCCTTTTTAGAAGAGAAATTTAATTTTTTGTAATGGCCAGCATTAATATCCCCGTTTTATCATTTGGGTTTTGTTTTGGTTTGTTTGAAAAGTTGGGAGAGATACATTCTCCACTAATTTAGAGTCTGACTCTAATAAATATACTAAAATATAGTTGTCTGTTTTATACTTTAAGCAGTACTACATTCCAAAAGTTTCATAGCCTGATGTATACAGTATATGCCTTACAATTGCATAATATATGATCAAGGTTCTGCCAATGCCCTTCTGTTCTTATATATTCTCCAAAAGCTCTTGAGTTGCTATTGTACTTTTCTACATGAACTGTGGGGCAAGACTTTTGAAAATGACCAATTCTTTCCCGAAGTTTAAGGATTTTAATATATAATTTCTAGCACACAATGCTGTTACTGGGTTATTACATATATTTTGCTCTTGATGATCATGTAAATAGCCAATACAGAAGATGCTCTATTTGAGTGAAGAAAATTAATGGAAACTCTATTAAAAAAAGAGCCACCTTCTGTAATTCAATTCAAAAACATAATCTGCTCCTTTAATACGTATTATTGGAATCTCTTTGGAAATGGTTGAATTTTCACTAATGTATCTGTTAATGAACGGAAAGGAAGATAAATCCATTTGCAAAACTGTCTATGCTGAATGAGGCAAATATGTCATTCTAGATGCTCTATTGCTGTATTGGTCAATTTTCTTTCTATCCAAAAACTAAACCCACTAAATACAACCCCAAACATTTAAATTATTTTTTTCTAAATAAAGCTTACTCAGCTAAATCTATAATGAAACGATGAGTTATGTTCTACTTTTGTAAAAACATTACAAACCAGGCACTTTTTCCTCAGTTTATTTAAGATGCCTTTGTTGCAAGCTGTACTATACAGATTGGGTATAAAATGCTATGCAGAGTATATGTGAGAGTTAATACCTTGCAATTTATTATGGCTGTATTATATTTATAAAGCAAGGCTTAGCTGTGTAAGAATCAGCTGATTAATTTTTTAAAATATAAATGAAGTACTTAAATGAATTTACTGTGTCTCTTGCTGCTCTGTGAATACACAAAAAAATGAATAAATTGAGTACATTAATTCTTAATCTGAATATTAAAATATTTCCCTTCCTGTGTTCAGAGCTGTCTTCTTTAGCTGGTGCTGGTCATCACTGAAGTGGGTTGAGATGTACCCATCTTGGAACAATTTATGAACAGTTAAGTGTGGTAATTTAAAATGCTGTACTAAGACTGAGAAAATTCAAATTCAAATCCATCATGGAAACTCAGTGGATGACTTTGGGCCAGCAACTCTCTTACCTTAGTCTATTACACAGAACTGAAGTGGGGGAAATTTGGAAAAGGAAGCGTTATCTACGGAGCCTTGAAGTCTTCGACAAAAGGTGTGATAGAAGTTCAACAAAAAAAAGATATGCAGAGTATGTAACCAAAATCCTTGAAGTTTCTTTCCTACACCTGGGACCATACACAGCCCAAGTTTTCTCTCTTATTATATGGATTGGGGTTACAAGTTGTTGATTACAAGTTCTTTAGCTCCAAAACAATTTAGAATTTTCCTGCTCACAAAAAAGAAAAAAAAGGATGGAGGTAGTTATATTGCCATCTGGTGGCCATAGAGGAGCCGAAGGTTCTTTAGGATTTAGGGATAAATAGGTTCACATAAATGCCAAAAAGGATTTTACTGTGAATAATTGTTTGAGTGTTACAGAAAGAAGGGTAGAGCAATTCATGTTGCTTCAGCTTACTTGATGTCCCAAAAATGACCACAGATGGCTTGGTCACAATTTCAGGCAGTTGTCCCACTATCGTTGGTATTTTTAGGTATAGTAGGATTCCTGGAAGACAACGCCAAGATTGGGGAGGGGGGGAGAGATAAGCCAATGGCATATGTTATCAGTAACTTAGGAAAATGTCACTTTGGTAATATTTTTATGAAAAAAATTAGTGTGCAACTCCCCCCCCCTCTTACCAGCAGATTTAGATTAGGGACAGAGAGCTCACTATTCTTTTTATCTTAATAGTTATAAAAGGGAATGCAAATAAAAGGCAAGAGTGATTTACAAAACAACACTGCAATCTACAAAGTTTGCTATGTAATATTTTTTACGTTGGTGTTGAGGAATTTACAATACAGGTAGTCATCAACTCACAACCACAATTAAGCCCAACATTTCTGCTGCTGAGCAAGAGAGTCGTTAAGTGAGTTTTGCCCCATTTTATGACCTTTCTTGCCACAGTTGTTAAGTGAATCTCCAGTTAAGTTAGTAACACGGTTGCTGGATGAATCTGACTTCCCCATTGATTTTGCTTGTCAAAGGGTCACAAAAGATGATCACATGACAATGGGAACACTGCAACTGTCATGAGTCAGTTGCCAAGCATTTGAATTTTGATCATGTGATCATGGAGATGCTGCAATGGTCATAAATGTGAAAAACAATCATAAGTTATTTTTTTCGGTGCCATTGTAACTTTGGTCACTAAACATAAAGTTGAGGACTATCTGTATAAAGCTCACAAAGTTGCAAATAAATATCTTGGCTGACTTAATATGTACAAAAGGAAATTTTTCAATTTCCTTGCCTATTACCCATGAACACAGGCTACATGATAATACCCACATGAGTCTCAGTATACTGGAAAGCATTACTCAGTATACTGGAAAGCATTTTGAATATGATTAAACAATTTCCCCTTCCACTCAATTGTGCCCAATTCTCAGACACTCCCTGAATGAATCCCTGTAGTTTTCTTGCCAAGGTTTTTCAAAAGTGGTTTGCCATTGCCTTTTTCCTAGGGCTAAGGCAAAGTAACTGGCTCAAGGCCACCCAGCTAACTTTGTGCCTAAGGCAGGACTAGAACTCCCACTCTCCCTGTTCCAAGCCTGATGCCATAACCACTTCACCAAACTGACTCTATGATAAATTAAGAGAACTAATTAGATTTATAATATATTCTCCAAGAGTTCAAGGGAGCCTTATCTCCAAGTTTTCTGTACAACTATATGAGGTAAGCTGGGCTGAGAGGAAGAGAACAGCTCTAAGTATCCCAAGAAGGTTTTATGACTGAGGGTGGATTTGAACCTTGATCTTCCAGGTCCGTAACCAATATTTGGCCCATTTGTTCCCAGGTATCTGATTTTCTTGAGCATGTATATTGCCTGGATGTGTATATTGCCTGCACCTAATCAAAACTAATGCACCTCACTAGATGTGTGCAGTATAAGGTTCCTGTAAACATGAAAAGAGCTAAACAAGCACTCTTTCATAGGCAATGTTGAAAGATAATGTAGATAAATATTAGAATGGAGCAACAAGTTTATTTTACACACAACTAGCTCTTAATTTAGTCAACTATGGTTAAACAATCATAGCTATGAGTGATATGTGAGCCTAGCTTAATACTAATCCTGAGTTGAGGTGGGGGAGTGAAATGGCTAACTAGCCTTGAATTACTGATGGGGAGGAAGTGGCTGAAAGGTGATCTGTCCTAAAGCTTTTCAGTGTTTATCTAGTAGTTTCTGTAGTGAGTGCATTAGTCTGGTGAGATTCATGTCAAAGGGAGAGTAGCAATAAATATACCCTTCTAACTAGCTCCTTGTGTTGTTTCTGGTTCCTTGTGCCTGATGCATCCTAAGCTAAGCTAGTTAGATGGCAGAGTTATGGAATATCTGGAACAAAATAAACCCTAGAAAGAGCATTTCAGGATTAATTCTGAGCCCTGTATCATTCAAAACCGGCTTCTTCTTTTGGCCAGAGTTCTGGATTGCTAGTTAAATGTTTCACACATGTTCCAGTAAAGTATCATTTTTAATTAGACCCAAATCACAGTTCTGCTCTTACTCAGAAAAATCCTCCAAATTTTAATAAGTGGAAGAAAGTTACCATCCCAACGCCTCAGTTCTTCAAGTGACTGCACAAAACAATTGCCTTAAGTTGGTTCTTGTTTCGTTACATTCTCCAGGACTTAAATGCCACGTATAAGGAAGACCTCAGACATAATCTGATTATTGTCAACTAAAGCAGCGGTTCTCAACCTATGGGTCGTGACCCCATTTGGG